TAAATCTGGCCATGTGTCTCTCAGCTAAAGGCTAGAGAGAAGGAAGTTGGTGCATCTGTGCAACCCAGACCTGGATAAGAAAATGGAAGGATAAATGAAGAAAACAGAAACTGTGATTAAAACGGGTTTTCCATCTGCAGGTACATCACTTCAATAGAGACGGGAAGTCAGCCAGTGACTGATATCTTCCACTTTGTTGTTTATGATGGAGACAACAATCGCCTTGACAACCAGATATGCACCATCACCATCACCTCCGCACCAAGACAGCCGCCGTTGGTCACTGTCCGCAGCAGCATCAAGGTACGCACACGCTATGTCCTGCATACAAATGTGCAAGTAAGAATCTTACACACTTAACGGAGGTGCACACAGCAGGCCAGCTGAAACAATATTTACCTTTAGTCAGAAGAACATCTTAAGTACAGCATCAAATCATATTTAATGTACCTGTTTTATATTTGAGACAAAAGAAGCGAGGGACTCCTGTCACATGATCTCCATCAGATCGCTTGAGGGTCTTTGTTTAAAAAATAGCTCCAAATTGAAAGTTGCGTTGATGTCTGCTGGATTTCCTTCATCAACATGTAGCAAATGGCATTTACGTGCCATGATGTTTGAGTATTGTCCTCTGTGAGTGGGAATAACAGATACGTACTCCTCTACTTCTGCTTGCTTTGTTCTGTCCTGCTGAGCTAACTGGACATTCAAGTCCACAAACTACAGGCTCATGGATAAGGGTAAAGGTATGCACTGTCACAGTCCAGGGGCTAATACAAATGCAGCAGAATATGGCATCAGCATGCTTTTATATTTAACACATTCTCCCCTGTGTATGTGTGTGGACATTTGTCAGTCTCATTGTGTTACACTAAAGAAATGTGCACTTCCTGTCTTTCACTGCAAGATAACAATATGATAAGAGAAAGAGCTTTGCATCTGCAGGCTGTACCTGGGATATGATGTCCCTCCACAAATTCCACCCTTCATCAAGGATACGAAGTCAAATCTCGCCCCAAGAAATGTCTCGTTCTTGGATCTATTTATTTCATGGCTGTGTGGGGAGAAATTTTCTGGGTCAGCCAATACATCTCAAAGTGGGACCTCTTCTGTGGGTTCACAGCTTGTCTTGTTTCTGGGTAAATTAAAAGAATACAATAAAGGTAGAAAAGAGGAAAAGCCTCACGGAGCACTAAATAATTTAACATCTACTGTCTACTCATCCTTCAAGGGTCTTGTAAAGATTTGAATTCCCAGTTTTTGTAAGTTTTTAATCATGTTCAAATGCAGAAAGGGGATTTGTTTTTCTGGAGTTGAGATTCTGATTTTTTTTATGAGCCCATTCTGAGTTTTCTCAGAGCTTTAAATATATAATATGGTTAAAATATTAAACAGACTATATTGTAGTAACTATACTTTAGACTCAAGTGAGAAAACTAGGATCTCCCAATTAAATAATTTATTTTTGCTTATTATCCATGTCTAGGTCGAGGAAGGCGGTCGCGTGCAGCTGTCTACCAATGACATTACAGTGTCAGATGTGGACACGCCCCCGAAGGACCTGCTGATTTGGCTTGTCAGCCCTCCTAAATATGGTTTTATTGAGAACACCAGGAGAGGTGAGAAGTGCCTGTGTGACGGTATGCAGATATTTTGGAGTGTGGTCACTGTTGCAGGAAGCTGAATTGACTTTGGCTCATGATGTGACAAACTGCAACTGTTACTCTGAATAATTTTCACATTTCAATTTGCGTCACATTCCTGTGCACACAATGCCGGGTGAATTCCCCGCGGTACCAGTGCCATCTGTCTCGGCTTGATTGTGCTGTGGATTAGAGCCGCCAGATAGCCAGGTACAGATGGGGCAATTGTTGAAGTTTCACAATGTTGAGGCTCACTCAACTACTGCTGCTCTTTCTTCTGCTCCCGAGAGGAAGCGCTTGGAAAAATGAAAAAGGTGACAAGAGTTGAAGAGGAACTGATTCCCTCTGGGGAAACTGTAACATTGCAAGTGCAGAAGCTGAAACAACATGAAATGAAATAGATATAAACACAGTAGGAAGAAAAGTCATATTGAGAATGAATAATGAAAATGGTATATCTGGCTGTAATTGTAATTTTGGTCTATATATAAAAATAGACAGAGCGGTGATGTCAGCCACTGGATTGTGAAGCCTCATTTTTAGTATTTTGGCTGTTACCATATTGTTTTTGGCTTTCTTCTTTTTTCAGCCAGAAGAAATCATGCTTGTATGCAGATGTGACATTATGAGCCCACATTAGCAAGAACAGGTTGTAATCAAAGCTGGGCGTAGCTTAGGGAAAAGTGAATCTTATGCTTTCTTCTCTTTCTGATGGCCAAGGTGACTTCTCTGGTTGCAAAGGCAATTATGGATGTAAGGAAGTTGGCTGCTTTAATCAAAACTCTCAGTAAACATTTTCCTGATGAGCGTATCAGTTTATTTTATAAAATATGGTTCCGATTAGTGTCCAAAAAACATGATAAAGCAGGGTGGGACTACCTTGTGATTTAAAAGTTATTATATGATCTGACCTACACGCCTCAGTGACCCAGGCTTAGAGACAGATTGGCAACCCCCTGGCAATATCTGGTCACTAGGCAGAAATATGTATTTCCTGAGCAATCAGTCTTACTGCTTCAACCAACATGTTTCAAAAGGTACAACTTTAGTGTTGAAGGGGAATATTCTGTGTTTCTGAAGCCTTAACAAGCACATCCTCACACTATTTGGGTCCTTTAAATAAAAGATGATCTATTGGTTTGGGATATATTTTAATATTTAAATTATTAAAGTTAAATTATAGCTGACACTATCAACCCTGCTCATTATGCCCACATGCAGCACGGTGGTTAGCACTGTTGCCTCACAGCAAGAAGGTCCTGAATTCAATTCCACCAGGGTCTTTCTTTGTGGAGTTTGCATGTTCTCCTCGTGTTTGTGTGGGTTCTCCCCGGGTACTCCAGCTTCCTCCCACAGTCCAAAGACATGGAGTTAGTGGGGATAGGTTAATTGGAAACTCTAAATTACCCATGTCTTTGTCTATGTGTTAGTCCTGCGACAGTCCAGGGTGTCCCAAGACAGCTGGGATTGTCTCCAGCCCCTCTGTGACCCTGAAAAGGATAAACGGATGGGAATGGAATGGACTATCAACCTTGGTTAGAGAGCTGCATTCATGTGCTGTGTGACACGGTTGCTGTTTATCTTTGACAGACTCAATGAAAGCATCTGGAGTTGCATGATCTGCATCATTCAGGATATTGAATGCATGCAAAACCCGCAGTAAATGACCTGAATACTGCAATGCATTTAGAAAACATGAATTTACTCCATGGGATACACAGAATAAGGCAGTGAGTGAAAACTCCAAATCCAAGAAGAAACCTTTGTAAAAATAAAATCTCATTAAAACCAGTAAATCGTATCATATTGTTGGTCGGATTTTAGCAGTTAAGAGCAGAAAATCATCATACTGATCTGCATATGTAAAGAAACTGTTCATTTTTAATGGGTGTGCAGCCATAGTTGTAATAATAATAAGATAATTGGGGCGATCGTGGCTCAAGAGTTGGGAGTTCGCCTTGTAATCGGAAGGTTGCCGGTTCGAGCCCCGGCTTGGACAGTTTCAGTCGTTGTGTCCTTGCAAGACACTTCACCCGTTGCCTACTGGTGGTGGTCAGAGGGCCCGGTGGCACCAGTGTCCGGCAGCCTCGCCTCTGTCAGTGCGCCCCAGGGCGGCTGTGGCTATAATGTAGCTGCCATCACCAGTGTGTGAATGGGTGGATGACTGGATGTGTAAAGCGCTTTGGGGTCCTTAGGGACTAGAAGACGCTATACAAATACAGGCCATTTACCTTTTATTTATTTACCATAATTGGCCTTCTCTATTATACATTGTCTGCAGACATAATGAAGGATAAATTTGTGGGGTCAGATATTTATAGTGTCTGCAGCTGTAGATAACCAGCTGGCACCAATCTTTTCTCTCCGTGTCCCGGCGGCCCGTCCTTGATGGCAGCTGGAGTCGTTGGTATTCAGCAGCATCAGCCAGCGGTGCCGGGTGATGGGATTTCTGCTGTCACCGGGGCACAGGGGAGGCCAGTCAGTGTCACCGTCAGTGTGCTGGCAACAAAACCAACATGCACAGGTTTTTTTAATGTTGATATGCAGATGCACCATCGCACAAAAGACACTGACTTGCATGCTGATGTTGTGCATTTGCATGAATCCAGCAATTCAAAACATGCACATGGAAAAAACAAAAATCTCACACATAGGCAGTGTTTATGCAGGAAATGGCTTTTCCCTTAACAAAATACATAATAGTTTGGTGATTAGCACAGAGGAAGGCACACGTACTGCAATGCAGTATAGACATTTTCCAATTTGAATTTAAATAATTACTTTAATATAAAGCTGACATGGAAGGAATACGGCCAATCTCATTTTGGCCCCTGAGGTCCTAGAGTAAGTAAACAACTCCCAGCCCATCTTTGTCACTCCCCATCTGTTTACATGCCGCTTTGTCTCCTTGTGTTAGTCTTTCTCTGTAGATGTCAGGAGAGGAAAAGAGACAAAAGTGACTCCCTTCCTGGTTCTGTTGGTGGTTTCTTCCTTTCTTTTTGCCCACCATCACCAGTTGCTGTTCGTAGCAGATTGTCTGATTGTTGGCCTTTTCTGTCTAAAATTATAGTACAGCTGGTTTGGGAATGTCTCCGTGTTCCAGCCCCAGTTGCTCCCCCTGTGTAAGACTCAGATAAGTAGCAGAAAACGGATGGATTATTCTGATTACTCACTCCCATGATTATTTAAACTCCTTAGATCAGCGGTCCCCAACCCCCGGGCCACAGACCGGTACCGGGCCGAGAGAGTTGAGGCTCGGGTGTGAAATTTGTGGTTTTCAATGTTTTTATCGTCTCCTGTGTCTTATTTTGAAAGAAATATTTACCACCATAGTTACCATAACAACCAGAGAGAATTAAGGGCAGAGAGGAGGATGTTACTCTTAATGTTGTCGGCGCATTTCAGGAGGACGCTGCTAATAAAGTTACACAATTACACAGTGAAATCGCATTTATTATCATATTTACAAAATACATATCTCACGCATTCAGATATCGGTAAGGTCCAAGGTAGGGCACACCTGCTTAGACTTACAGGTGCGCTGGCACTGGCAGCCGCTCTGAGTCGAACTAGACCTGAACTATCTGTGGTGTTGGTGCCCATTGGGCCATTTTATCTGTGTAATACTACAATCTGCTGTGTAGTACAACCGGATACCTGTAAACGAGATAGGAACCATAAACTGCCGTGTGCATGACCCATTTTCTTATTTTCATCATTGAACAAGAGTAAATGCCCCACCTCATCTAGGATGGTTCATAATCGTGCTTTTATGAGTCCAGCATTAAGAGAGAAGTAGGGATGGAATATAGTAATTCAGATCCCATTAGTGTAGAATCATCTGTAACTATAATTAATCCTAAAATAAAATTAATGAAATTTAATAAAAAACAATTCTGGGATTAATATTCCAGCCTGATAACTCTCTGCATCACATTCCTGAACAACTGGATCTGTTTTCGACCCACATTCCTTTTCAGAGCCTTGTTCAGTCAGCGATGCACAGAGATGTCAGTGGCGTGATTGCAGGAGTGGTGCTGTGAATCTGAGATCAGCAGACGCCACGTGTGAGAACAGAACAACCAAAAAAAATGATTCTGGAAAAATTGTAATTCCCCGGTGGCTTCAGGTGATTTCCTGTTTTGATTACACTTCTGTGAGGGTTCCCGCTCAGATAAGAGGCTCCCGATGCTCACCGTAAAACAGGCAGATGAGGCGATGTGATGCGATTTACTGTTGGGCCTGATTTACACGCATACACTAAAGTAAATACAAGTACACACACACCAGCTAGTCCCTCCAGAGCCCTGACTCAGCTCAGTGCGGAGTCATCCGTCTTCTGCAAGAAAGACACTCATACTTTCTCTCAAACTTCAGAGATTTCAAGGTTGATGTTAAGTATTCAAGGCGACTCTCCTTCAACCTGAGGACAGCCAGGTCGTGTCATCACAGCCAAAGTGTGCTTTTCTGGAGAATTGTAAAGACCGTCCATGCATCTAAACTACCAGACAGTTCCGGCTGAAGTCAAATGAAAAGCCTGATGGGACGGAGAAGACAAATATTGCTGTCATTGGAGCTGTCAGAGGATATAAGTGATGGCCTGCTAACTGGTCACCTGAGAGGTTTATGAGTTCTTTGTTGCAGTATAATAAATGTTCCAGTGTAGAAATGGCTTTTTTCAGCGTGTAGCCACAACCGGACGACGCGACAAATCATCATTTTTACACTAAAAGAAAGAATTTAAGAATAAATTAGATTGCTTTAATGAATAAAATGATTTTGTGCACTTTGAATTTGAATCAGAATCAGAAAGACTTTATTTATCTCCAAGGGGCAATTAACATACAACAGAGCAGCATAACGTTGAAGATAAGAACAATAAGAACAGGCAATAAGAGTGAGATAATAAATACACAGAATATACGGTATATACAGTTTAAAATTACACAGTTTAAAATTAAAGTGACTAAGAGTGAATAAAGTGTCGGTAGTATAAAAAGAGAATGAGAATACTTTATTAATCCCGAAGGAAATTTATGTTTCTGGTGCAGGAAATGGTCTTATCTGCTGGAGTTACAAAGCAGAGTGGCTTTGGGGACAAAGGTGGCTCTCCTGTGCTCTTTGTTTTCTAAATTGCATCTCTTCCTCTGTTCTCTCGTCAATCAGGAAGCTCTGTTGGCGGCTCACATGTCGTCACCCCTGACGTGCCTTTCTCTGTGGAGGACCTTACATCTGGCCATATCTCTTACGTCCAGGAGAACCAGCTTAACCCTCAAACCAAGCAGGACATCTTCAGCGTCTACATCAGCGACGGGCTCAGTCAGACGGAAGCTTTCAGTGTGGAAATTGACATCCAGGTAAGGAAAAACTAAAAAGCTACCACTACTAAATCTTGTAGTACTATCATTATAAGTGACATTGATTAATGTATAATTAAGAATGTATTTCAAAATAAAGGAAGTTTGTTTTTCTTTGAAGATTTTGTTTCAACTCTCTTAATTTTTGAAGGTGTTTGTGTTAAATATACCGTTGCACTTTCCTTCATTTCTATGGCAGAAGTAACCACAATGACACAACGCCTTGGTTTGAGAAGCCCCATTTTGTCTCAAGGCATTACTATTTTGTTTGTTATTTTTAGCCAAATGTGATGAAGAAGAGGGAGGACAGTTATTAGTTAGCTAGGTTAGCACAGAAATGGTTTTCTTTCTCAGCAAAATTCATTTCTAACCACAGACGTTGCTGCTTAAATAAATAAAAAACTAACTATATCCTTATTGCGTCCATGGGAATTAACAGGGTTAGTCATAGTCAAGTGCTGGTAATCAAATGCACTCGGTTAATTGATCATCAGCAAGTGTGAGCGCCTCTATAATGGCGGATATTTTGGCAGTTTGCTGGTCTGTAGGTGTGTTTAGGAGGAAAGACATCAGCTTATGAATCTAGGAAGAGTTTTAAGGCCATTCCCAAACGTTTCACAAGTAAACAATTGTCAGGAGTGGATATTCCAACAAATTCACCCATATGCTCAGAAATTACAAAAAACTGAGAGCTCAATCTTACTCTACACAGTTAGTATGTTAAATGTTTAAGTTTATGACAGTGTTAAAGTTTACACTCTCAGAAAGACTGAACAAGAATGGCTTACTAGAAATGTTACCAGGAAAAAGCATTTTCTCTCTAAAGAGACCATCCTGGCATCACGGTTCAGGTTTGCAAAGTTGCATCTGGACGAACCACAAAATCCTTTGATCAGGGGAGACCAGAGCGGAGATGTTTGACCATGATGCACTGCACCACGAGTGAAAACCATCACAGCGTATGAGCACAAAGACCTCTTACCAACTGTCAGCTCAGTGGTGGAGGGACGATAACTTGGGCTCGTTTTGGACCCAGAGGACCCTGGACATTGAGTCAGCCGTGAATACATTTGTATACCAAAGTATTTTAGAGCCAAATGTCAGGTCATCTGACTGCTGACAGCTAAAGTTTGGCTTAAAATGACTCGTCTAACATGTCAATAATTTCAAGCACGCCTTTAAAAGATATTGAATCGTGGTATGTACTTAGTTTTTCACAGGACTGCATAATATTCTAGGTCTGAGGTAAAGTTCACGTCCTGTCTGTCAGTTTCAAACCATTGTTTTATAAGTAACACATTTTTCAGTCTTATGCCTGTAATGCTTCATTTTGGAAACTGTTGCACTTCACCCTGTACCCCCATCAGTCCAAATCACCAAGTTTAATTAGTTTCAGTTAGATAAGTCGCCCCTGTTGATGCTTTCGTTTCTTCAAAAGAAGACGATAAAAGCTTGAAAAAGACCAAAAACACTTTTTAAAATTTGAAGCTGGTGCACACCCATAAAAGTTTGAGCTGATTAAGTGGTGTCTGTGCTGATGAAAAGAGATGAAACGAGGTCTTAACAGCTCCACGCTCTATTAGTAATTCAAAAAAAAAAAGAGGTCTTACTCAGCTTTTGTTTTTCTTTTTTACTGCTGTCCTTGAGCAGCACAAGGCTTCCTCCAAGGAAAAACTGCTATGGCCTCAGGCTGTCCCTGTTTTTTTCTCCTTCATAAACACATAAACAAACTGAGATTCCAAATCCATCACTTAAGCCTGTTTTAGGTCTTGAGTTGGATTGATGGGGTTGTCAGTGAGCTGTTAAGTTTGTTGAGTGTGTGTATTTGAACACGTGACCTGTATATAATAAATCTTTCACGGTGTGTATTAATGTAGAGGTGGTAGTATACAACCCCTGGCAAAAAATATGAAATCCCCACACCAGGAGGACTGCTTCTGCTTTATTACTTTGTTGGCAATAACAAACCACAGATATGTCACAAAACCGTTATATTTAACACATGAACATTGTGGCTGTGTGAAACAAACCAAACAGAACCACATTGTAATCTGCATTTATAAGACAAAAATCTGAATATGCCAACGAATCTGCAGTTAAGGGAAAGTCTGCAGACACACCACTTGGCTGACTGAAGGAAAACATGTCCCCAACAAGGGACCTGAAAAGATTATACATCTCTGGTGAAATATGCTGGTTATTCCTGGTCGCCTGTGTCTAAATTTTTGAGCGAATACAAGCAAAATGTTTGAGTAGACCTTGGAAGATGTCAAAGCATCAGGACAGAAACCAAAAATTGGACCACATCACAAATAAAAATAAAATCAGCAGGAACAGGAGTAATCTGCCATTACTTAAAATAATTTAACAGAAATTGTTTGAGATCTGCTTTGTGAAGCTGGTGTTCTGTTGGTGAGGAACAGTGTAGTTATTCCACAAATATTAAAAGATGTCTTTATTTTATTGTCTTTCAGCAGAGTAAAGAGGACAAAGAGCCGGTGGTGTCCGTCAGCAGCATCCATATAGAGGAAAACTCTGGAGTTGTCATCACCAACTCGTCTCTCAGCGTCCACGATCAGGACACACCAGAGAACGAGATCCTCTTCACTATTATCAGAATTCCCAGCTATGGTGAGCACAGACTGCATTGGCCTGTAAAGGCTGTTCTTCAACTGCACCTTTCATTGTTAAGTCTGTCTATCAGAATTCATTTTAAAGCAGCAGATTACTTTCAGCTTACTAAAAACTATTTCTTTCTGTCTATAAGTAATAACCTGTTATTATAAACTACTTTTAGCTGCTGCTCAGTTTACTATCTGTTAATAACTTAGTGCATTTGTCTAGCAGTTAGCTAACAGTTTTCCTTTGCTAATTCATACTGCTAGTTAATAAACTTAAATTTTATTGTTTTAATTATTAGGCAATTTAACTGATAGGTCTCGATTTAGAAAATGTACACAATCTTCTTCATAGCCTTAGCTAGCTTTATTGCAATTATTTATCCATTATTTTCAGCTAAAAGCTTGATTTGATTACTCACATGTAGCTAGCTGCTAACGTAGCTAACAGCTGAAGTGATTTATAGCTTTAGCAAGTTTTTTGGTAAAACTGAGTTCATCTATATAAACTTGACATTTTTATTGCTTTTTGCTCTCTATTATAGAGTGCTCTTGACTCACCCTTCATTTCTTTATGTTTTGCTTCCAAGGAGCAAGATTTTCTTGTATTTTTAAGTGGACTTGAACGGTACTTCTCTGGGCTTCCTAGTGGTTTTTCAAAGTTTTGTTTTTTTTTTGCCATTGGCTGTTTCTTCACTCATTTTCAGTACAGTCCTATTACCTGGCTGTTTTCAGAGGACTGTCTACACATAACAGAGAATTTAGCAAAGAACCAATTTTAAATTGTATCCTTAGAAATTGGTTCAATTCATCTTCGGGACGTACGGAGGAGGCGAGAGGTACAACAGTGACTGTCTACATCTGTCCAGCTCTTTAATGGTTCAGAGCTGCATTTCAGCCAGTGATGTTGGGGATTTTATCAAAATTGGTGGGATTATGAACCCAGAAAAGTGCAATTAGAACAGTCCCTTTGATTTCAGAATCAGAATACTTTATTAATCCCTGAGGAAATTATGCAATTTTACTGTTACTTAGATAAACAAACAGATGCTTTTGAGATACTTTTAGTTATTCTTCCTCTTAAAGTCCATTTGCTTATTCACCAGTTCATATGGCATCATGTATGTTTTTCAAATATGAAAGCAACAGAGACGCTTCAAAAACAGAATTATATGTTAACACAGCAGCAACCCAGCAGGTAAACACTGGAAAAAATATGCAGTGATGTGCAGTCAGTATATTAAAATATCTCACATACTTTAGATCTGCACACACACAAAACCTAACACAGAGCTCAAGAGAGAGTTATGTTAAGAGGTACCTGGCATGTTGATAGTAAATAGTTCTGGACGTGATAGAAATGAACAGACACACACAGAGTCATAAACACATTACTCTTATTTCCGACACCCAAACAGTTTAAAACAAGACAAACACAGCGGCCGCCCGCTGCAGCGCTGCATTCTGACTGCAGCCATTCCTCACATGACACAGCGACACAAACTCAAATCAACTGACCTCCAAACACTTTGTTTTTCTGACGCCCTCTCACCGTCCCAAATTGAATTTTCTCTCCGCCTGCCACAGTCTGGTAGACCAAAAGAAATTGCTTCACGAAAAACACATTTTTTTAAGATAAGTATACAGCACTTAGTCACAGCAAAAATGTCTTTTAACCCAATTTTAGCAAAGTTTACAAAGTCGTGAAAGACGGCGGAATATAAACCCTGTTTCACAGGATCTCATTTGTTCTTTACATGTTACGATTTTTATTTTAACGCCATAATGACCCAAAACTTAAAGGTATTCTCTCTAACTGACTGTTCTGTATTTAAGGATTTAAGGAGCTTTGTTAATGCAAAGGCAATCTCCGACTGACACTTCTGAATTCCTGGTCTTGATCATGCATATTAGCCGTATGGATTAGATGTCCATTTGATACTAACTCGATGCTGTCTTCAACTATCACCCCTCCCATACTCCTCACCCACCCCAACAGACACCTGGTCTGGGACATCTCCCCCCCCCCCCACTCAGTTAAAGCACCATAAAGCAGCTGGTGAAACCAAGCGTGCCTCCGCCATAAAACCACCGGCGTGAACGGTTGATGGGACAGAGCGGTAGATGAGTGATTTCAGACGTGTCGATGACTCCCAGTCAGCTCGTCTTTTTAACTGGCCACCTCTCCACTGTCCACACACACACACACACACACACACACCCCTACAACGATCTATTTATCTTAGAGGAAGTATGAGAGACCCCTTCAAGCCTAATAAAGACGCCAGGTTGCAGCAACACCCCAGCAAATGTGCACGCACTTGTAGACCTCGTGCTGTCGAAGCAGTCTAAGGCCAAGAGATATTTCTAAATGCACATAATTTTCAGGTAATTAGTGCCAAACAGTCTCAAACTCTATGAATTAATCTTTATGCAAATAACATGGGGATACCCCAACGATGGATTTGCACTGACAAAATAAAAGATTCATTTAAAAAAAGGCAAAATATAGAAAATCCAGTGAAAATAAATACTGCAGGGCAATAGATAATAAATTGACTGCAAGCTCTGAAAATATTTGGAGAGGAAAATATTTTCATATGTTTAATTTGCAAATCATTTTTTCATTTTTTACACAGCATTCCAACATTTTTTGGAAATTGGGGTTGTATTTGATTTAATTAATGATTTTTGGCTTTTTAAATCCTCCATAGAGGATTGGTGGAAGTGTTTGATTTGTTCATCTTCTGCTTTTAAACAGTGCGGAAACGTTTCACTGCAGACGTTTAAAAAAAAGAAGAAGAAGAGGGAATGTGTGGGAGGGAATAAATGAGGGTGTACGTCTGTGTGTCCCCTCTTCACGCTGCAGGATTTGGACTTAAATCCTATTTAAACCTGGGCTTTGATTTAAGAAGCAGGGTAATTTAGAGGAATCTAAAAGGTCTCATTAGGTTCTACAAAGAGCTTTCTTGTCTTTCATGTGCTGCATGAAAAACTCAAACATCCTCCATTTGACTTAGATAATCAGAGCAATTAAAAAGATGTACTTATTCAGTTACCACTCCCCCACTTACACCCACTTCACAATCTGAGCTTGGTTTACTTTTTATTCCCCTAGGCAAGCTCCGCAGGCGGCAGTTCTACTCCCAGCCACTGGAGAACGGTCGCGTCCTAACACAGGGCTCCACATTCACCTATCAGGATGTGGTGGATCAGCTGCTGGTTTACACGCCTGAAACTGTCAGCGGGGGAGCAGACGAGATGGCCTTCACCCTCACCGATGGCATTCACACCCACACGGGCCGCCTGGAGTTCACGATGGACGTCACGAGGAGCGAGGGACCTCGAATGACCGTCAACAGAGGACTGCAGCTTCCAGCAGGTGAGAGTCAAGAAATGCAGTAATAAACGATATGTCTGTGTTTAATGAGATGTTGACTCATCTCAGGTTAAACCAGACGCCCGGGGACACCAGTCAGAATACTTTTACAATCATAAATAAACTCAGTAGTTTTTCTTTTCATGCTTATAGCCTCTTGTTTTTCTCTTCTTCCTCCTAAATCAGTTTGTTCATAGTTCCCCTGCTTAGAGTGAGAAACTACGTTAAAATAGTGTTGTTTTTATTAAAAAAAAACCTCAGCTGATTAGTAATTATTCACATGAATGTATTATGATACGCTGTAATGCCCCATTTTTAATATTTTCCACTTTTTTCTTCCTATTTTATTTGTTATGTCCCGCTTTTCGTGTGTGGGGAAATATTTGGGGGTTTTTTATGGGTTATTAAAAGACAAATTAAGGCTTGTTAAGGTTTTTGTTTCAAGAGTATTTCTCAGTCTCTGCAAGTGACTTTAAGCAGCTCTTGTATTTTCAGTCGGAAAAAAAAAGAATCCAATCAAATAAATAAAGTCATCAAATAAATGTAAAGTAAAATCTGATCACTGACATTTCTGTACTTTTTCAGGGTCATCATCTAAGATCACAGAGCAGAATCTGAAAGGTACTGACATCGACTCAGATCACCTGAAGCTCCGGTACATCTTGACCAAAGACCCCCCAGTCGGCAAGCTGCAGCTCAACAGGAGCAGCCGAGCGGAGAGAGTTTCTGTGAGAGGTCCCATTCAGAGCTTCACTCAGGAGGACGTCAACAAAGGTGCCAGCTTTAGTTTTTATTGTTGTAACTTTGCACAGATGTCCCACAGTTTTCGGTCTTTGCTTTATCTTAGACTGTATATAAAAGATGGATGTCACCTCTAGGTTTGGAACGACTGCTTTAATCCTGCGTTTTTCCCAGTGACCAGCAGGAACCAGCAGATAAAGTGACATGATGTCTTTTGCAGGCCAACGTGGAAGTTAGCAACATATAAGGATATCGTATCAGCAAAAGAAACACGTCAGGCTACAGATGAAGTAAAACTCCTGCATTTGCTGCGATGATGTTGCCTGTTACAACAAGTTCTGTAATTTAGCAATTTGTTAGCAAATTACTTAAAATGTTTTATGTTGTAGAACATAAAGTAAAAGTATCAAAGCCACTGTTATAGCCCATATTTTAAGCATCTAACCAAATGCTCATCTCCTTTGTGACAAAGGTGGTCTTGACCTGTAGTTTAAAGATTGAATGAATACAACATTATAAATTATGGGCCCTTTAATAGATTATAAAACGGGATATGGATATGCTTTCACACTTTCAGCTCAGGCGTCCGGGTCATGGTAGACTAAAGCTTTTGAGTCGAATGCAGCTGGACTGATAAATGTTGGTATGGTGTGCAGTGCAGTGAAGAGTGCTTGGATTTAATACACAGGAGAGAGCAAACAACCACTCCGCACGTGCAGAGCAAATACAGGAGAGCCTGAAGTTTCAGCTCTTCAATACAAGCCCCAGATGTGCATGTGCATGGAAAGGACAAGACAAGAGACTTTTGAGGATATGGAGGTTCACATTTAAGACAGAGAAAGGAAGTGGTTTGAGAGAGCATTAAAGGAAGCTATGTCCACTGTGAATGACCATCACTGAACAAAGGTCATGTGTAATACAGTCCTGAGATCCTGTTCAGAGCAATTTAACCTCGACTGATACCTCAACGCATGCGTCCTTAAGTCACAAACATGTCCTGACGTGGCGTCTCGGGACCACCTTAGAGGTTAAATGCCCCATCAGCTGCTATAACAGGTCATTTTAACTTGGTGATGTCACAGTGGCTACAGCTAACTGTGTATGCAGTTTATTATCTTACTTCTTAGTTTTGTTGTTGGAGGTAAGATAATGGCAGAGGGGTGGGTTGAGGAGCAAGAGGTATTTATTGATGAACTCTTAACTTGCACAGCTTGATGGCAGAGTAAAAATTGCTCCAGTTTTATTGCTGCTTTCACCCAGACATGGGCAAGAATACAAAATGCAGAAAAGGTCACAGGTGGTTTGCAGTGTACATTTATCAAAATGTAATTTTAAACCACATTTCTGCTAAATTCAGTTCACTCATTGTTTGAATTACATTCAAAAACTTAGTGATAAGACAAAATAAAAGCGTAGAAGACGCATTCAAAGCTCTCAGTGCTTTCTAGTTTCGCTCACAGTAATTTAGCTCTAAGGTCGTGTGATTCATTGGAGTTTAATTATTCCCAGCAGTTACACTTTTGCATGAAGTCAGAAGCTTTGACACCGAGTGCTTGTCTCTGTCCTTCAGGCCTGCTGCAGTACAGCCACGAGAAGGGGGAGAAAGGAGGAAGCCTGTCGTTCAAGTTCAACCTGCTCGATCCGGAGGGCAACAAACTGATCGACCAGTCCTTCTTCATCAGTGTGCTCGGTAGGGTTTCCTCCACCCTCTGCAAAGCAGGGACTGAAGTGTTCTTTCATTTGGTGGAGACGAGAAGGCAATTACTGCAGATTTATCCCTCCGTCTCAGGCGTGGTTACTGATGTGATGCTGCATCCTGCATACGTCCTGAATACGAATTGTGTGCAGTCATGTTATTTATAACCCACTTTTACAGCTTGTTAGCTTTCGCATGTTAAATGAGCTCGTTTTGGGTTTTTAATCGACATTCTCAGAAATTTGTCAATTTCATTCGCTACAGCGATTTTCTTCTTATCATCACTGTAATGCAATTATTTTTGGCAATTTTTAGTCATATATAAATGACACTATTCTTTTTGAGATTGTGAGAAAAGAAAAAAAAGATGCATTTTTATTTTGAGCTACGCAGACTTATTTTGCAGTTGTGGGTAGTCAACTGCCAAAGACCCTTTCTGAGCCATGATAAACCTTGAAAACTCAGCTGCGCACATTTTTATTGTCACCGTTTCCATCTAAAAAGCTTCCTCTCGCTTCCTTCTGGGGATAAAACCAACTATTGCACTGGTTCAGCAGTTTGAATCCAGTGTCCACATGAGAAGCTACTGGATATTGAAGGATTGCCTTTCCCTCATGGTTGAGCAGCATCCCGACTCTCTCATATCTTTTGCAGCTCTCTTTTTAGCCTATTATTTTCTCACCTTTTCACTTTTCTGTTTATTGCACCCTCTCAGATGTGACTACAGGGAAGCTCTCCTTCCATATCTCTTCCTGCCGTACTGCCCTCTGATGACTTCTTTGCCCTTCTCTCACTCTTTTCTATCCTTTTTTTACATCTTTCAAACCTATATCACTTTTTCACACCTCCTGATATGAAACTGTCGTTCTCGGTCTATATAAATCTCACCTTATTTCACCTCCTCTGCTATAGTCCATCCTTTCTCCCTTTTACCAGGATAAGAAACTGATTCTTAATACTTTGATTTCCTTTTGGATGAATTGTTTTCCCAAACGCTGCCAAAAGCCGGGTTTTACTGATAAATCTTAGCTTGACGGGGGAATTTTTTTCTTCTCTCTGCTCCTTTTCTTTTTATACTGACCTTATTTATTTTATCTTGCAGAGGACCATCTCCCTCCATCTGTAGTGGTAAACAAAGGCCTGGTGCTTGATGAAAACTCAGTGAAGAAGCTGACCACGCTGCAGCTGTCAGCCAGCGACCAGGACAGCGAGCCGGGCGAGCTCATCTACCGTGTCACCAAACAGACGAGCCTGGGGCACCTCGAGCATACTGCCAGTCCAGGTAGACCAGGCCTATATGTCAGTGTTTTTAGAAGCTAATTCCATACTGTACAGAAAGTCAGGTGTGCATGCTGTTTGTGAGGCAAAGCACAGGGAAAGGCGTGATTACATATGCACAAGGGGCTGACACAGAGGGTGCAAAAGCAAAGGTGACAGCCAAACACTAAACCAAACCAAACTTTTTCAACTGCTCGGTGAGTACTTGGCATCCTGCATGCAAACTGCAGGTGACTATGGCATTCTGATTGCTACCAAAGCAATTACACTTATGTTTTTGGTGCAGCAGACTCTGATTTCACCTGGCAACCAACACCAACCAATGGCGTTTTCCCCTAAGTTTCCAGGGGTGTGCAGCGCTGTGGTGCATTGATCACCTCTCCGGTTTGAGCCTGTCCAAAGACATGCTTGTCAATTGGTGATTCTAAAGTGCCTGTCGGTGTGATGGTAGTAGAAGTATTTTAGTGACAACAGGGTGTGGCAGCACGAGAGCTGAGCTGAGGAAACCTTCATGCATCAAATACCAAGAGAGTCAGGGGAACACCGGGGACCGACAATAAAACTAAAGCAGGGAGCTAAGAACTTAATCACAAAAACCCGACTTCACTACAATAACAAAAGAAAATGGAACCAAAAACTTTCCAAAACCAAATCTCATCACAAACTCTGTAGATGGAGACTCGTTCCCTTCTGTATATGATAACTGACTCCACACACAGACGGAGCTGTAATGAAGCTTGCTCCAGTTCCTCCATCCATTATTTCTGTTCTATTCCAGCTGCCCTCTACAAAACAGACACACTCACGCACTCTGTCTTTCTGCTTCTTGTGACACAAACAAACTTCAAATGACTGCAGCCATAACTAAAATTCTCATCTTGTGATGCAATAAAGAGAAAACAAAAAAGGAATAACTGATGCATCCTCCGATCACAGAGAGGTGATTATTAGCTTCGGCGCTGTTGAGGATTTCAGCCCCGGCTGAACGGATTCCTCACACGAGTGCTTGCAGCATGTTAACGAGCTGGATGTTAACACTGCTCCCCGATCTTCAAGCATCAGATCACCTCTGAGCCACAGAGCAGCACCGGATAATTACTGCTAGCCATTCAGCCAGTCTGTCACACCATGCTAACACGCACAGCTAGCCCACTGCCCCTATGGGAAGCTTGTCAGCATACGAGGAATGTCAAGGTAACAGCACAAAGAGATGAATGCTCCCTTTCAGCTCCCGCTCTCAAAGCCAATGTTTTCAAGGGGCTTATTAAATGACTGAGGTTATGACACACCTCTCCAGCTGAGTGTTTGCCAAAAGGCACTTGTCTCGCAAAATGCTTAAGACAGTAACCTGCCTCACCTCCTCAAATGATTTTTGCAGCTTTGTTTTAGACACTAGTTTGAGGCGTAGCTCAAGCTTCCTAATAAATGATGAAGTAGATACAGCTTATGTTGTTTGATCCTAAAGTTTAAAATTCCGATAAAGCTTGAAGTTGAGTGTGTAGCCCTTTTTCTGCCACATTAAAGAAGGAAAGACTTCAGTCAGATCCATCGGCCAGGTTAACTTTAGTCAGGTAATGGTGTCTTCCTTTTGCCTGATGTTGCTCATTAGAGTAGAAATATTCACCTCCCACAGCCGATGGGTGAACTGCTTCCTTAATAACTTAGAAACTATGACTATATTAAACGACACAACACATCTTTTAAAATAGTAATTAGTTACTAATTACTGATTACTTCTCCAAGAAAGTAATCCTGTTGCTTTACCGATTTCTTATTTTTAAAAGTAATTGCTTTATTACTTAGTTACTTTGTTTCTTTTTTTAAAAACATGATACACAACCTGAATACGTAATAAAGCAATAGACCTTTTTTAATTTTTTCTGCGTAATCGGTCATGGATTTTTTCAATGTTTTTGTCACTTTTTACAGAATCAAACTCAAAGTAATGTCAGTATTTCCAAGCTTTAAACGCTGCATGGTCGTACTCTCTCCCGCACTCCATATTATCCGTTGCTGATCTACACACGTCTGTTGCTGCCGCGGACGTTCCACGCTCATGAGACACTCCCACAAACAAAATCACAACGGTTTAGTAACGCAGTAATGTAGCCTGCTTACAGGAAAGTAACAGTAATCTAATTACCTTTTTTGCAATAGTAATCCCTTACTTTACTCGTTACTTAAAAAAGTAATGAGATTATGCGTTAATGCCTGTCTCTGGTCCACATACAGAAAGTATCATAGAAGGATTTAAGGAATCATGCTACATTTGACCTCTGACCTCTTGTTCATGGTTAATAAATTAAGAGTCAAAGTGACAAATTTAAAACTTTGTTACTTACTACCATTGTTTGGAATAGATAGGAATATAGGGAATTATATATTTTTATTTAAAGACAGCATTGTGAAGAGAAAGAGAATGACCTGCCTAGTTAATAGGAAATATACTTTACTATGATATATAATATTCATGTACTTTATTATTAAACATTTAAACAATGAGATGAATTGTACACATGTAGTATATCTGCATATCTGTATAAATAAAAAATAATTATGTCAAGTACAGTAACGTGGGTTTCAGCAGGACAAAATAAAAGCCCTTGCTCTTGTTTTTATTTCAATACAAATTTCTTAAAGAAGGACAAAGAAAAGGAAATAAATACAAAATGTCACACTATTGCCCTTGAATTATTTCTAAAAACCGGACATCTGTGCAGACCACAACTAGACAGATAAGCTGATCGGATTCAGACTTAAACTAACATCAGACAGTCTCTAGAACCATTAAACATTAAACCATTAAACCATTAAACCATTAAACATCCAATATACTCAACTTCCCAGAAAGTTTTGACTTCACGTGTGAAAATAGGAATGATTTTTGCTGTGTTTTGTACCACGGTATCAGCTCAGATGTTAACCTGCATAGCAATCAGGCTATGTTTAAACAAAATGTGGCATTTTCTGCTATTCCCTGTCAGGACAAATGGAAAATGTAATTTGCTCAAATATGATGGAGCTAAAAAAAAAAGCTTGGTTTTCATCACTGACTGAGAATATTGGATCTGTCTCCCAGCCTGCCTGTCCTGATTATAATGATGTATAAACCTTCAGCTGAGGAGTAGATGCCAAAAGCCAGGAAGACCACAGAATTGCGCTCATTTTGCTGTCAATAGATGACATGAAGAGAGCTGATGCTGAGATGTCTTTATTTCCTCGATGCGTTGTTGGCATGTTGAATGAGTTTTTACAAGTTGTAATTTTTTTTTTTAACTTTGTGAAATTCCCTCCGCTCTGTGGTGAGAAATAACTAAATTATTCAACAAGTTAATACCTTCGCAGCGAGGTCACCTGCGGCACGAGAAATCCATTTTCATGTTATGTAATGTACCTCCGTACAATGACAGTCTGTAATGAAGTGCCTGATTTAAAATGTAACATCACCTATCGGTGAAACGAGCTTAGATTTTAGGACTCACATGCTTTCATTTCTAGTCTTTGAAACTTGTCTCTACCCATCTAGTGTTAATTCCTTCTGGGATACAAGTTATGTATATTATGCACACACACACAAACACACATGCAGCTATTGCCCATTTCTTGTTTTTATACTAAAGATGAATTATTGTTGAATAAAGACATTTTTCAAACACATGTAAAATGTGGCCAATTGTGTTTATCGTTCCCCCCCCAATCTCCCCCCAGATGATGGAGGGAATGGAAAAGGAGGTGGTGGGGGGGTGAAAAGAAGAGGGTAAAGGGAGTGTAGACGGGGCAAAAAGAGAGGGATAAGAGAGGGGAAAAAGAAGGCAAAAGAGAGAGGAGAGAAACCCCCAACAATCCCCTCTGAGCAAGCACCAGGCGACAGTGGACAGGAAAAACTCCTTTTAAAATGAAAGAAAGCTAAAGGAGAAACTTATGGCAGAACCAGGCTCAGGAGGGGGCAGTCAACTGCCGGGACTGGTCGGGGGGGTGAGGGTGAAAAAAGGATGAAGAAGGGAGGGGAGAGGAGTGGTGAAAATTAAGATGGAATAGAGGTGGAAGAGAACGAGGTTACATCAGGTGAGGAGCAGCAGTGTCCCTCCTCCAGAACCAGTGGAGGCGTTTTCCCTTCTTTTTCAGACACTGTTGCACGAGCAGTGTTTTCTGCTCGTTGAGGGTTTTCAGCTCATCGACTGTTTCTGCGTTTTCTTTCTCAAGTTTGTTGCATCGTTTCACCATGTTTTCTAATTCTTCTTGTTTTCCTTCAAGCTTGTCTTTCAGTTCTTTAACTGTTGCCTTCTCCATTCGCTTTGCTTTGTGCATATCTGTATTTCTCTGTTCTGCTTTCTTGTGCATGTCTTCTAAATGCTGGTTTCTCTTCTGGATTTCTTGAAGTCTACGCTGCAGGTCTTCGTGTGTTTTCTGTTGTTGTTTTTGCGCCTGGATTTCAGTGTTTTTGTACTTCAAATTGTTGGAAAGTTTCTCAAGTTCTGTGTTGTTTCTCAGCATTTCATTGATGCGATGCTGCATCTCTGAGCAGTTTTTTCTTTTCTCCTTCCAGTACAGTTGTTTTGTACTTCATTTCATTATACAATTCTTGGAGTGTTTTTCTTCTGGAGAATAAGTTTTTCTTCTTCCTGTTGTATTTTCTGTTGGTCTTTTTCTTGAAGCAACTCTTTATTTCTGTGCACTGTTTTATCGAGCTTTATTTGGAGCAATCTGTGTTTTTCCTCCATCTCTTCAAGCTTGGAGTCCTTTTGTTTCTGTTTCATTTCCATTTGCTTCTTGTCTTGAAGCAACTGTTGATTTTTGTGCAGAGTTTTCTTACGCTTTACCTGCAGCGCTTTGCATTTTTCCTCCATGCCTTGGAGTTTGCTCTGCATGTCTCTCTGCTCTATGGGCTGTTGTTTCTTGTCTTGGTGGATTTCTTTAATTTTTTTCCAGAGCTTCATCAAGCTTTTCTTGGAGCTCCTGATTCTTTTTGTCTTGGAGAGCCCATTCTTTCTCCTTTCACCTTCTTTTTCTTGAAGCTGGTA